GCTGAGCAGGGAGCCCGATGTGGGGCTCGATCCCAGGACCCTGGGATCATGACCCGAGCTGAAGGCAGATGCTTAACGACTGAGCCACCCAGGCGCCCCCTTAAGATCAATTCTTTTGGCAACTTTCAAATATTACAATACAGTATTACTGACTATAGTCACCATGCTGAACATTACACCCCCATGACTTATTTTATAAAAAGAAGTTTCTGTCTTGTGATGCCATTCACACATTTTACTGCCCCCTGCCTGTGGTAACCATCAATCTGAATCTGAAGGTTTTTTTTCTTTTTTAAGGTTTCACACATAAGCGAGATTATGTAATTATCTGTCTTATTCCACTTAGCATGATGCCCACAAAGTCCAACCACGTTGTCGCAAATGACAGAATAGCCTTCCTTTTAATGCCTCAATATTCCCTTACATATATGTGTGTGTGCGCACACACACACGTGCACATCTGTACCTATAATACATATACGTGCGTGCATTTGTATATACATATATACACACATGCACAATCTTCTTTATCCATTCATCCATCAGTGGACACCTAGGTTGCTTCCATGTCTTGGCTATTGTAAATAATGCTGCAATGAACATGGGGGTTCACTGCAGCTATCTTTTTGAGTTAGTGTTTTCATTTCCTTTGTATAAATACCCAGAAATGGAACTGCTAGATCATATGGTAGTTCTATTTTTTTTTTTTAAGATTTTATTTATTTATTTGACAGACACAGCAAGAGAGAGAACATAAGCAGGGGGAGTGGGAGAGGGAGAAGCAGGCTTCGTGCTGAGCAGGGAGCCCGATGCGGGGCTCAATCCCAGGACCCCGGGATCACGACCTGAGCCGAAGGCATACGCCTAACGACTGAGCCACCCAGGCGCCCCGGTAGTTCTATTTTTAATTTTTTTATTTTTGAGGAACCTCCAAACTGTTTTCCTTAGCAGCTACGCCAATTTATGTTTCTGTCAAAAGTGCACATCTTGGCCAGCACTTGTTATTTCCTTAATTTTTTGGTAATAGCCATTCTAAAGGCGTGGGCAATATCTCATTGTGGTTTTGATTTGCATTTCCCTGGTGATTAGTGGTGAGCACCTGTTCATGGACCTGCTGGCCATCTGTATGTCTTCTTAGAAAAGTGTTTATTTACATCCTCGGCCATTTTTAAGTCAGTTTCTTCGTCCTCTTTTTTTTTGCTACTGAGCTGTAGGAGTTCTTTATATATGTTGGATATTAACTCCTTATCAGTTATGTGATTTGCAAATACTACCTCCATGCGGTAGGTTCCCTTTCATTTTGTTGGTTTCCTTTGCTGCGCATTATTTTTGCTCGTTACTTTTGCTTTTGATGTTAAATTAAAAAAACCACTGCCAATCACTGCCAATGTCAAGGAGCTTACTGCCTATGTTTCCTTCTAGGAGTATTTTTCAAGTCTTTATTCCATTTTGAGTTAATTTTTATGTAGAGTGTAAGATGGTCCAGTTTCATTCTTTTTTTTTCTTTATTTATTTATTTTATTTTATTTATTTTTTTTTTTTAAAGATTTTATTTATTTATTTGACAGAGAGAGAGACAGCTAGAGAGGGAACACAAGCAGGGGGAGTGGGAGAGGGAGAAGCAGGCTTCCTGCTAAGCAGGGAGCCCGATGCAGGGCTCGATCCCAGGACCCTGGAATCATGACCTGAGCTGAAGGCAGGTGCTTAACGACTGAGCCACCCAGGCGCCCCTCTTGTTTATTTATTTATTTTAGAGAGAGGAGGAGAGAGAGGGCACACGTGAGTGGGGGAAGGGGCAGAGGGAGATGGAGAGAGAGAATCCCAGACTCTGCACTGAGTGTGGAGCTGATGCAGTGCTCTATCTCCTGACCTTGAGATCATGACCTGAGCTGGAATCAAGAGTCAGATGCTTAACGAACTGAGCCACCTAGATGCCCCAGTTTTATTCTTTTAAATGTGGTTTCCAGTTTTCCCAACACCATTTAATGATGAGACTGTCCCTTCCCCCATTCTTCTTCTTTTTTTTTTAAGATTTTATTTGAGAGAGAGAGTGCACAAGTGGGGAGAGGAGCAGAGGGAGAAGCAGACTCCCTGCTGAGTGTGGAGCCCAATGTGGGGCTTGATCCCAGGACCCCAAGGATCATGACCTGAGATGAAATCAAGAGTCGGATGCTTAATCGACTGAGCCACCCAGGCACCCCTCCCTTGTCCATTCTACATTCTTGGCTCCTTTGTCATAAATTAATTGACTATATGTGCATGGGTTTATTTCTGGGCTATTTTGTATAACTGACCTATGTGTCTGTTTTTATGCCAAGAACATACTTTTATTTATTACTGCAGCTTTATATATAGTTTGAAATCAGGGAGCATGATGCCTCCAGCTTTCCATTTCTTTCTCAAGATAGCTTTGGCTATTTGAAGGCTACTGTAGTAACACAAAATTTTTAGGATTGTTGGTTCTATTTCTGTGAAAAATGCCATTGCAATTTTGATAGGGACTGCACTGAATCTCTAGGTTGCTTTGGGTAGTATGGACATTTAATGGGAAAAGTGAAATTCTTATGTGACTTAGAGAACAAGAAAATATTGATTGTCAGTAAAACACTGGGATACGTTATTTTTTGGTAGTAAGAATTAATAGTTATTGAATACACACTATATGTGTCATGTACTATAATAAACACTTTATAGTAGTATCTCACTTAATTTTCATAAGAACACTGAAACTGGTTCTACAATAATCCCATTTCAGCTTGGGAGAAGTATGTAACATGCTTCAATGTTATACATATGGTATTTGTAAAGGGAAGATTCAAACCAGACAGTCTACTTACCTCCAAACCCCATACTGTTAATCTGTAACAGATCAGATTACTAGCAATTCTTATACAAATAAAGCTATCAGCAACGTGCACATAGCTATATTAGATCCTGCAGATGGCTGTCAAGGAAAATGAAAAGAAAAAATATAACCACAGAGGACTCCTATCTCTGTCTCAATGAAAGACCAGAGATCTCTGTGAATCACCATAGTTTAAGCCCATATGCATATCATGAGGATGGCTCTGAGGATTCATTCACTGAACAGTGGCAGTGCATTAGGTACTATCCAAAGCAGTACTAAAAACCTAACACACAGATGGCCAGGCCTTTTCCTAACCATGTGATTCTTGGCAAATTATTTGTCTTTACCTCAGTTTCCTAATATACACACTGGAAATAATAATAGAGCCTGCTTCAAAGGGATGTTAAGACAATAAAAAGATTTATCACATAAGCACTTAGGACAGTATAGGGGACATAGGAAATATTCAGTATGTGTAAACCACTAACATTATTTTACCTTCAGAGAAATATAAAGCTCACCCTCAAACATTTTTTAATACCATTTCCTTGCTTTCCAGTACTCATTTATGGACAGAAAGTTACTTGTAGGAGACTTAATAATACATTCAATTATTCAGGCTCCCAATAGTAATAAGATTAGAATTCCTGAAGAGGTAGAGTTCTAATCCTACAACCACTTGGACTTTAAGAGTCAAGTGTTAAAGAAGATTTACACAAAGTTGTGAAATGATAATATGAGAACCAAAATGTTTTCTACTAAATGAAGTTATGAGCTTTTTAAAAATACGCTAACTCTATTGGCACCTGGGTGGTTCAGTCGGTTAAGCGCCCGACTTTTGATTTCAGCTCAGGTCATGATTTCAGGGTTGTGAGACTGAGCCCTGTGTTGGAATCCACGCTGTGCGTGGAACCTGCTTAAGACTCTCTCTCTCCCCTCCCTCTGCCCCTTACCTCCCCACCTTAAAAAACAAAACAAAAACACTAATTCTAATTGAGATAGTGTGTTGCTGACATAAGAAGAGACATACAGATGTATGGAGGAGAATTCAGAGTCCAGTAATGGAATTTCCACAAGAGAGCAAAGATTATTCAATTCAGTATCTTTTCTTTCCTTTTTTTTTTTAGATTTTATTTACTTATTTTAGAGAGAGACAGACAGCAAGCACAAGCTGGGGGAAGGACAGAGATAGAATCCCAAGTAGACTCCACGCTGAGTGCAGAGCCTGTCACGGGGCTCAATCTTACGATGCCGAGATCACAACCCGAACTGAAACCAAGAACCTGACAACCAACCAACTGGGCCACCCAGGCACCCCCAATTCAGTATCTTTTAAAGAGAAGGTGCTGGGACAAGTAAGAGCAACAAGCAAAAGAATAAATCTGGAAGGTTACCCTCACACTATATAAAACAATTACTCAAAATGGATCATAGCCCTAAATGAAACTCTTAGAGGAAAGTAAGAGTAAATCTTTATGACTATGGATTAAGCAATGGTTTCTGAGATATGACACCAAAAGCACAAGCAACAAAAAAGAGATAAAGTGGACTTTAATAAAATCAAAAATTTTTGTCCTTTAAGGGTCAACATCCAGAAAAGTGAAAAGACAACCGGTAGAATGGTAGAAAAAAACTGCAAACCATGTATCACATGTGAGACTTGTACACAGAATACATAAAGAAGTCAGTAAGACAACTCAGATTTTAAAATGGGCAAAGGAGGGCGCCTGGGTGGCTCAGTTGGTTAAGTGACTGCCTTCGGCTCAGGTCATGATCCTGGAGTCCCTGGATCGAGTCCCGCATCGGGCTCCCTGCTTGGCAGGGAGTCTGCTTCTCCCTCTGACCCTCCTCCCTTTCATGCTCTCTGTCTCTCATTCTCTCTCTCTCAAAAAAAAAAAAAAAAAAAAAGTTAAAATAGGCAAAGGATCTGAATAGACATTTCTCTAAAAAAGATTTACAAATGGCCAATGAACACATAAAAAGATGCCCAACATCGTTAGCCAACAGAGAAATGCAAATCAAAACCACAATGAGATACCACAAGGATGCCTATAATAAAAAAGACAATAACAAGTGTTGTCAAGGATGTGGATAAACAGAAATCCTTAAATGCTGGTGGGGGAAATATACAATACTGAAGTTGCTTTGGCAAACAGTCTGGAAATTTTCCTCAAAAGGTTAAAGACAGGGTTACCACAGGACCCAGAAATTCTACTCTTACATATATACACCCAAGAGAAATGAATATATATGTCCACAACAAAAACTACACTAATATTCATAGCAGCATTATTCATAATAGTCAAAAAGTGTGAGTAACTCAAAGAGACATCAACTGATGGATAAATAAAATGTAGTCTATTCATACAATGGAGTATTATTAAAAAGCAATGAAGTACTGGGGCACCTGGGTGGTGCAGTTGGGTTAGGTGACCAACTCTTGGTTTCAGCTCAGGTCCTGATCTCAGGGTTGTGGGATCAAGCCCCACAGTGGGCTCCATGCTCAGCAGGGAGTCTGCTTGAGATTCTCTCTCCCTCTCCCTCTGCTCGCACACACACTCTCATGCGCTCTCTCAAATAATCTTTAAAAAAAAAAAAAAGCAATGATAGATGTTCCAACATGGATGAACTCTGAAAACATTATGCTAAGTGAAAGAAGCCAGACACAAAAGGCCTCATATGAGGATTCCATTCATATGAAATGTCCAGAATAGGCAACTGTATATAGATAAAGAAAGCAGGGGCAGCTGGGTGGCTCAGTTGGTTAAGCGACTGCCTTCGGCTCAGGTCATGATCCTGGAGTCCCAGGATCAAGTCCCGCATTGGGCTCCCTGCTCAGCAGGGAGTCGGCTTCTCCCTCTGACCCTCCCGCCTGTCATGCTCTCTATCTCATTCTCTCGCAAATAAATAAATAACATCTTTAAAAAATAAAAAAATAAAGCAGACGGTTTAAGACCTACGGAAAGGGGTGAGAGGGAGGTGTTTGAAAGCAAAAGCGGACTGACTGCTAAGGGGTATGGGGTTTCTTTTCGGGGTGAAGAAAATGTTCTAAAATTGACTGTGGTAATGACTGTACAATTCTGTGAATATACTAAAAGCCACTGAATTGTACACTTTGTATGGCTAAAATGTATGACATGTAAATTATATGTCAATAAGACTGTTACAAGAAAGATACTACTCATATACTTCTAAATAAAAATTTTTCTTTCCTTCATAATAAATTCAATGTATGTAAGTAAGGACTGAATGCTTCACTGTAAAAAGTAATGCTGAGAGAATAAAAGGAAATAGGCAATACCTATAGCATAAGTTCATTTACATCAAATGGAAGATTATGTAAAACAGTATCACTTATTCCTTAGGAATCTATTCAGATGCAATGTAAAGAACTGCACAGGAAAGAAACCCTTCCCTCTGGCAGGAGGATGCAGCTAAGGAGACCAAGTACACAGGAGGGCTTCAACTGTGTTGGAGTGAATGACATGTTAAGCTTGATATCTGGGCATTCAGTCGTTAATTCTCCGTATCAGGGTGTCTGGGTGGCTCAGTCGTTAAGCGTCTACCTTCAGGCCAGTTCATGATCCCAGGGTCTTGGGATCGAGCCCCGCATTGGGCTCCCTGTTCAGCAGGAAGCCTGCTTCTCCCTCTCCC